AAGACCGATATGGCAAATTGTACGCAGAAGGGTTTGAGCATGTCGGCTTATTATGGTCGGCTTCAGCTGATGTGGGAAGAATTAGCCAACTACGAACCGCTGCAATCTTGCTCTCGTGGTTCTCCCGACGTTCTTGAGGAGTCGAAACGTCACCGGGAATCGGAGAAGTTGCATCAAATGTTTATGGGATTGGATGCTTCCCTGTATTGCACTCTTCGGTCTAGTTTGCTCTCTCAAGACCTGTTGCTCACTGTTAACCGTGCGTATTCATTGCTTGTCTAGGAAGAACGGTTGTGGACGATATCCAATGGGATGACGACGTTGCCGGTTATGCTCTGAGTTTTGCGATTCAAGCTCCTCGGTCTGCCCAGGTTCCCAATTCGCTCCTAGTTGGTCTTTTTCTCGACCTCGGTCTGACTCCAAGCCGATTGAGTCGAAAGAAAAATCGGTTATTTGCACCCATTGTTCTAAACCGGGTCATGACATCTCCAGTTGTTTTGATCTTATCGGTTATCCCGATTGGTGGCCCAATTCTCGCCGTTATTCAGTTGGTTCGGTTGGTCGTGGTTCTGTTGGCCGTGGTGGTGGTTTATCTGGCCGTGGGCGTGGTGCTGGTTCAGGGCGTGGTGCGGGTGGCTCTGTTGGTCGTGCCAATGCTACTATTGTACCCGGTTCACAGTTTGCTGGTTCTTTGGTGACTGATTCGGATAAAAGTGTAGTTTCTAGCCTTTCTCCGGATTCAATGGTATACTTTAATCTCCATGCTTGATACTCATCACAAGTCTGGTGATACACTTTCTGATAAGTCTTTTTCTAATGAACGGATGTTTGATTGTGGAGCTTCACATCACATGACGGGATTTTTGGCTTTTTTTACGGAGAGGGCTATTTCTCCTCGTCCGGTTCAGTTATCCGATGGTTCTATGACTTATGCTTCTCAGTCGGGTGTTGTTCATTTGAGCAATCTAGTAACGTTACACATGTTCTTTATGTTCTGACTTTGAAATGCAGTTTGATTTCTCTGTATCATTTATTGGAGGATTCTCATTCTGTTGCACAGTTTACTAATAAATTTTGTGTTGTTCAGAACCATACATCGAGGACTCTGATTGGCACAGGTGAACAGTTGGAGGGTCTCTACTTCTTTCGTGGCTTGTCTCCTGCTCGGACTGCTCATGTTGTTTCCCTGGTTTTATGGCATCAGCGGTAAGGACATCCTTCTGTGAAGGTTTTAAGGCAGTTGTCCCTTTTTGATTCTAGTATTCCTGTTTTGAATAAAGCTTGTGACATTTATTTCCGAGCTAAACAATCTCGTGAATCTTTTCCTATTAGTAGTTCTAAGAGTGTTGAAATTTTCTCTTTAATTCATTATGATTTGTGCGGACTCTATCGTACTCCTGCCCTTAGTGGTGCTCGTTATTTTTTTAACAATTTTTGATGATTTTCCCCGTGCTACTTGGCTATATCTTCTTAATGATAAGAAATTTGTGCCTACTAAATTATGTGAGTTTTTTGCCATGATTCATAATCAATTCGAGAAATCTGTCAAGGTCGTTTGTAGTGATAATGGTTCCGAGTTTTTGTGCCTGGGTTCATATTTTTCGCCAAACGGGCATTTTGCATGAAACTTTTTGTGTTGGCACACCTCAACAAAACGGTTGTGTCGAACGTAAACACCAACACATTCTTAATGTAGCTCGTGCCTTATTTTTTTAAGCCAATCTTCCTATTCCATTTTGGGGTAATTGTGTATTGACTGCTACCTATTTAATTAATCGTACTCCCTCTTCTGTTTTAAATGAAAAAACTCCTTTTGAGATCTTCTATGGTAAATCTCTCTCTCTTCAACACTTGCATGTTTTCGGTTGCCTTTGTTATATGCATAATCTCTCTCCGGGCGGGTGATAAATTCGCTCCCCGTGGTCGCAAGTGTGTTTTTGTGGGTTATCCATTTGGTAAAAAGGCCTAGTTGGTTTATGATCTTGAATTACGTAAGTTTTCTATTTCTCGGGACGTTGTCTTTTGTGAGACTGAATTTTCTTTTGCCAGTTTTTCTTTTGTTTTATCAGATTCTCCTTCTCCTCCGATTCCTAGTTTTTCATGATTTTGACGATGATGATTTTCCTACTTCCAACCCTGTGCCTGTTGCCTCCCCAGTTCCTTCCTCTTTGCTTGAGTCGCCTTCACTTCCGGCTCCAGCTTCTCCTGTCCCATCACCTCAATCTGGGGGGTCTCCGGTCTTGTCCTCCAATTCAGAAGCTTCTTCCTTGCCTCCTCCTTTGTCTACTTCCGAGTCTCCTGAGCTCTTGGGTCGTGGTCATGACACTAAGTTTCCTTCCACTCGTCTTTGTGGTTTTGCTCGACATACTATCTCCCCCCCCCCCTGCTAATTCACCTACTCAATCTGGCTCCTCAGGTACTCCTTATCCTTATAACACGTTTTGTAAACTATGACCCTTTCTCACCCCAACATCGAGCTTTCTTGGCAGCCATTACTACAGGTGTTGAACCTAGGTCTTTTCGTGAGGCCAAACAGGGTGCCAAATGGCGCTCTGCCATGCATGATGAGATTCGAGCTTTAGAGAAAAATCATACTTGGGAGGTTACTTCTCTCCCTCCTGGCAAGCGCGCAATTGGTTGTAAGTGGGTTTTAAAATCAAATATCATGCATATGGTTTTGTTGAGCGTTATAAGGCTCGTCTAGTTATCCTTGAGAATAATCAGGTTGAAGGCATTGACTATAAGGAGACTTTTGCGCCTGTTGCCAAAATGGTTACTGTCCGTACTTTTCTGGCTGTTGCTACTGCCAAGAATTGAGAACTTCATCAGATGGATGTTCATAACGCCTTTCTTCATGGTGATCTACATGATGAGGATTATATGAAGTTTCTTCCAGGTTTTTGAACTGGCACTTCTGGTCAGGTGTGTCGGCTCCGTCGGTCTTTGTATGGCCTTAAACAGGCTCCTCGTTACTGGTTTGCTAAGCTTGCATAGACTTTAAAGCAGTATGGTTTTGTCCAATCTTCCGCTGACTACTCTGTTTACTCTTCATCGTGGTTGTCTTTCTCTGAGTCTGTTGGTGTATGTTGATGATCTTGTTCTGGCTGGTAATGACCATGTTGCTAATACTGGTTTCAAACAGTATTTGAGTACTTGTTTCCACATGAAGGATCTTGGCCCACTTAAGTGCTTCTTGGGAATTGAAGTCTCTCGTAATTCGTCTGGCATAATTTTATGTCAACGAAAATACGCTTTGGATATTCTATCTGAGGTTGGTCTTTTGGGTGCGAAACCTATTACTTTTCCCATAGACCAGAATCACCATCTTCCTCTAGCTGAGAGTTCTCCACTACCCGATCCTGAGCCATATCGTCGTCTCGTTGGTCGGTTGATCTATCCAGCAGTCACTCGCACTAATCTTTCTTACTCTGTTCATATGTTGGCTCAATTCATGCAGGCGCCTCAGCAGGCTCACTGGAACATTATTTGAAGCAGCATCTAGGTCAGGGGATTTTGCTTCGTGCAGACTGTGATCTCACTCTTTATGGTTGGTGTGACTCTGATTGGGCTAGTTGTCCTCTATTTCGGCATTCTCTCACTGGGTGGTTTATCACCCTTGGTGCTTCTCCTATTTCCTGGCAAAATAAGAAGCAGCAAGTTGTCTCTCGTTCTTCTGCCGAGACAGAATATCGTGCTATGACTAATACTATTTGTGAGTTGAAGTGGTTGAAGGCTTTGTTATTGAGTTTGGGTGTTCGTCATTCTTCCTCTATGTGCCTTTATTGCGATAGTCAGTCTACGCTTCATCTTGTTGCTGATCCGGTTTTTCATAAGTGTACTAAGCACATTGAGGTTGATTGTTATTTTCTGCGTGATGCGTTTATTTTGGGGGTCATTTCTCCGGTCTATGTTCCCACCGCTTCACAGCTTGCTGATATTTTCACTAAAGCTGGGTCAATGGCAATTTACTTATTTTTTGTCCAAATTGGGCATTCGGAATCTGCATAATCCACCTTGAAGGAAGGGGGGAGGGGAGGGAGGGGTGTTATGGTATATGTATGTACCTATATTTGTATAGGGTTACTTCTGTAATTTTGTACGCTCTAGGGTTTCCTCCGTAAACCCTAATATGATGTATATGTGTATATATATAGCTCCTTTGTGAGCCGATCAATACGATATCATGTTTAATACTGGCCATTTAGTTTCTGTCAAATTATTGACAAATATGATTTCATTATCAACTGAACTGGTTATTATAGTTTTCTCTTAACTGTAAAGCAATATATTTATATATTGTGCAAAAACATCTGTTGTTTTTTGTCGTCTTCTTCTTTTTTTTTTTTGGGCACTTGTAACCAAAAATTTATACATCCTTTGCAAGATATATCTCAATTTTGTTCTTTATTGTTACTGGTTTAAGATATTACAATTTATTATTTATTAAAATCAAAAATTGTTATTTTCTTATTGAATGAAATGCCAAATATAAAATAAAAAAAAATGTCTTGGTTCTTGTATAATACAAATTAATTAGATTCTTTTCAATTTTTAATATAGAATAGAAAGTTTGGACGCACTTCGCGCATACGTGATAATAGGGTTTGATGTGTGGTTATAATAATGGTTATAAATTATAATACTGAAATTGATGAAGAAGATGATATGGTTATAATAATAAGGATGATTTTAATGAATAATTAAATGTGGTAATTAAAGTGAAAGACTATCAAAATTTCGAAGTTATTATGCAATTATAGTATAGGTAGAAAGTAATGATGCGGGTTTAGAGTCTTAGAGAACAAAACAATTATGACAATTAAGCAGTGATACAAATGATTTTTGCTGTAACGACCACACTGACACTATTCATTTCATTTTGATATCTCATTCGGGTCAGAATCAGATGAATGGAAAGATCTGAAACTCTTTCTTTCTTCCTCTGAAGCTCTAACGACTTTGATAAGCAATGCCCGACTAATCTGCAGCCGCGGACGAAGATGATGATGAAGCTGATGAGGGCTCAGAGAAAAGCTTTTTTAGAGTCGATTCTGGTGAGCCCTTTTCTCTCCTTCAATTGTAACCCACATGTTTTCTCTTTAGAGTATCACATTGCTCCAGAGAGAGTACATCTGTATGCAAGTTTGAAATTCGGGTTCCTCAATCACATTCATGCTTCGGATGATTCCATTAATTTGTACCAACATATGGTCCGGATGAGTCCACCGCCCAACGAGGTTGCATTCGCTCCATTTCTTATCCGCGTGGTTAATTGTTGCTATTCCCTTGCAATTTCGCTCTACCACGAAATGAGTGCTTCAGGATTTTCAGTAAACGGTCATATGCTCTACACTCTGATTAATTGTTACTGTTTGGTGAATAAGGTTGATTTTGGGTTCTCTATATTGGGCAGGTTTTTTAAGCATGGTTTTGTGCCTAATGTGTGTACATTTAGTACTCTACTCAAAGGCCTCTTTAATGAACAAAAGATTTCCCAAGCTCAAGAATTGTTTAGGAAGATCATTCGTGGAAACTTATGTGTTCCCAATGTTACTATGTGCGGGGGCATGATAGACGGGCTCTTTAAGGTTGGGAATACTACTGTGGCCCTTGAATTTCTTAGAGATATGGAAAGAACAAGAGTTGAGCAGAATGTCATAGTTTACTGTGCTCTCATTGATGGTCTGTGCAAGGATAATCGGATGGATGAAGCAGTTTCTCTTTTACGTGAGATGATTGGGAAGGGCATTGCCCCAAATGTTGTTACTTGTAATTGTTTGATAAAGGGTTTGAGTAATATAGGTAAGTTGGATGAGGCTATAAATCTCGTCAAGGATATGGTGGACTTGGGAATTTCTCCTAATATATTTACTTTTAATGTACTGATTGATGCATTGTGTAGGAAGGTAATGGAAGATGCCAACGGTGTACTCATTACAATGGCTCAACATGGCCAGAACCCTGATGTGTGCACTTACAATGCGTTGATGGATGGATGTTGTTTGAAAGGGAAAACAAAAAAGGCAAGGGAATTTTTTGATACCATGGTTGGCAGTGGCCTTGTTCCAGATTTGTGCAGTTATGGTATCTTGATTAAAGTTTATTTCAAGAGATCTGAAGTTGATCAAGCAATGCATCTCTTTCGGGAAGTTCCCCGTAGAGGATTAATCCCATATGTTGGCTTATACAATACCATTTTGCAGGGATTGTTTAGGACGGGAAGGTATGTCAGAGCAAAAGATGTTATTATTGAAATGCAATCCCTTTCTTTAACACCTGATTTTCATACTTACTGCGTAATGTTGCACAACCCATGCCAGAGTGGTTCTGTTGATTAAGCCTTTGAATTTCTGAACAAGTTGGAAACTGAAGGAGTGGAACTTCATATGTGTATTTATACTATCGTTATTGATGGTTTTTGCAAATGTGGGAGGCTTGATAATGCAAGATGTCTTTTTCATAGTCTCTCCTCAAAAGGACTGAGTCCTAATGTCAAAACAAATACCACAATGATTAATAGCCTTTGTGGTGGAGGTTTGGTAAAGGAGGCTAAAGATGTTTTTAGGCAAATGGAAGATAATGGTGTCTTGGCAAATGAAATCACATACAATACAATTATTTGGGGACTTCTTAACGTAGGAGAATATGAGGATGCAGTGATGTATGTCAAAGACACGGTTCAAAGAGACTTTCAAGTAGATTCATCAACTTTTGCACTTTTACTTGACTTGTCCTCTTCCAAGGAAAACTGTGCTGTGCTCACAAAGATAATTGAGGATCTTGTCCCCCACAGCAAGAAGTCTCAGTCTTAATTGGTGGATGATAAGAAAGCTTGAATTTGAACCCATTGCTGCTTATGCCAACTTTGTTGGTTTGTAAATGATTGTTAAACTTAAACTCAAGGCGAAAGGATTATGTCCATCATTAAGTCCCATATCTATGCGATTTAAGATATTTCTTATGCGTTCATCTGAGTGATGGTAGTCAAATATATCATTGTTGAATATATCTAGCAAAGAGATTAAAGGTACATCTCATTATGCTTCCAAGTGGCGGTGATGAATTAGATATACAAGTGTGCATATCTCTTGTCATGTGGCCGTGTTAAGCATTACTAGCATATTTGCTTCTACAATATTTTTACGGGAGTTATGTGTCATATCACTGGTCCGAATGTTGACAGTCCTAAACCATGAACACAGTTTTTTTACAGGTACATGCAAAATATTTTTAGAACCTAGTAAACTAGAAATTCATCAGAACTAGAAGTTAGTGTTTAGTTGTCTTTTCAAATTTAGGTTCATTTATATATCTTTGAATCTGTATCGAAACTGGCATATGTAGATCTTTCCTTTATGTGAATCTATGTTAGTCAGCTTGTGTGCTGGTTCTTAACCCTGGTATTACATACCATCTAGTCCCGCCTTGAGAAGTGGTCCCGGTAATAATGGTTGTAAAATCTGAAAGAACTGTTGGTCGGATGCTTGATGCCGGAAATATTCTCTAGCATTTTTCTGTCTTTGATTTTATTTCTGCCTTCTGCTTTGTTTTTTATTTCTCCCCTTATCTGATTTGTGCTGGATGCAGGACCAACTGTGGCATGTTTTTGGGACTCTTGAGATTGTAGAGCTGAGAGTCTGAAAATGAGCTCCAGATCAGATGAGATACATTAGGCGTGTTATATTTGTCAGAGCTCGATCGTATTTGAGATGGTATATTCATATTTAATAAAAAGCAGGATTTTAAGGAATTGAGCTGAGAAGCTATATAGTTTATGTATGCTACTCATCTAAGCACCAGCAAGTTTTGAGTTGCTTTGCCCACAACCATAGCCAGTAGATAGGTCCTGAGAACTAGGTTGTATAGATGTAATTCCTTAGAAGCGTTATCTAGGGATATAAAATGGGGAGTTCACTAGCAGTTGACCTGTTTAGGTACTGGTACTGGTTGATCCCTCTTTACACTAAAGATTGAGCACGAGGAAATCATGTTATTACAGTAGTTTCTTAAGCTGGACTGGATTTTTGGAATAAATGTATCTTTAGAGCAAATTGAAGCAGAACCGGAAATGTTTTTACATCTTTTAAGTTTGTAATACTCTGCTATGATGTCATATGAGGGAAAAAGGTAGCTCTTGGAGATGGTTCTTAGAAGCAGGACTAGCAATGTTTTTAGTATCATTATTTTAGTCTCTGTTGATCTGTTATCAAGTTGATTATGTTCTGGATACAAGTCCTTGTGGATCAGTTCTTTTCTTTGGCTAATTTATGTTTACTATTAAATCAGAATGCCATCCTTCTTCTACTCAATGTGTAAACACTAATTAAATTGCAAAATGACAACTACTGCAGAATTCTCCATGTTCATGTTGGTGCAACATGTCTTCACTTATTTTGGCCCTCAGTTTATTGCACTATTTTCAACTATTGAATCTTCCACCCCTTCCATTGCACACTGAGAGAACTCCTTAGTTCTAATAAGCCACTAATGTGCCCTAGGATTAACAGTATGGCTCTTTAAACAGTTTTGGTTCTGCTGATGAATGATGAGTTTAATCTTTTGAGAAGGGGCCAAGAGGAATTGTTCCTGTTATAAACACCTTGTAGAGAACCATGCTGATTCTGGTGAATGATCAGCAACTACAAGTAATTTCTCCAACATTTGGAACCTTTTGAAGTCGCAATTCTACCCCATTGAAGGAGATATCCATCAACCTCAACTTTTCGTTGATTGTAGACAATATCTAGTTCCATTATAGATGCATCAAACTGCCTAGAAGAGTAGAAGTCACAGGCAAACAGCCATGGATCTTCCGGAGTTCCAATCCATGTTTCACATTTTAACCCTTCCATTAACATAATTTGTCCTTCCGAGAAAATGGTCACTAAGTTGAGAGGAACAATTTTTCATTGGAGTATGTTTTCTCAAATAATGCAATTGTTTGATAGGTCTATATGAGTAAAAAATGAGCTGGGCCAAGCAAAATTTGGTTGTGCAATCTGATAAAGAATCTAAACTACCCTATAATTGAGCTCCATTTTCCAATCGAGGTGTTCCAGAAAAGTGAAAATGTACAATTCGACACTATTATTGTTGGAAAATCAGGGTTATGTCGTACTTGTAAAATGTTTAATTACTCGAATGTATCGACAAAATCATTTTATTATTTTTTCTAATGATTCTAATAAAAAAAGATTTTTTTTGTCCCAACAAGAATTTTTACTCATAAACGATATCAGAATGATTTGTATTTATTGTGGAAATTCTATTTCATAAACGATTAATATCTTCTACTGAAAAAAAATTAAAATTTAATATCTTCTACTGAAAAAATTAAAATCACATAATTTACGGTCAATTCATTCACTATTTTTTTTTTAGAAAACAATCTTTTACATTTGAATTCTATATTAGATATACTAATATCTCATACCATCCATCTAGAAATTTTAGTTTAAATCCTTCGTTATCGGTTAAAAGATACTTCTGCTTTGTATTTATTACGATTATTTTTCCACATGTATTAGAGTTAGGCTATTATTAGTTGTTTGAACAAAAATTGTACTCGGATCATGGAAAGGAGACATAAAATAACCCGAGTACAAAAATAAATCAAAGCGACTATGGATGTGTTTGAAAATCGGCCTCGGACCTAGAATCGAGGACTTAGGGTTCACTTCATTTTAATAATAATAAGAAAAATATAGGAAAAAAGCGGGACAAGCCAAAGTGATGGCCGTCAACATTTTCCCAATTTCAACCCGTTCTAGAGTATGTAAGGAAGACATAGTTAGTGATGGCGGACAAGTTTGTGCAGGTATGGATTAATACTTCTTTGCATCTTGGCAACACCACTACTTGTAGAGTGGAGAGCGAACACAAGTTGTTAAAAGAATGGCTCAGCACAGCAAATGCTTCTTTTGAAACAGTCTGGCACAGGGTTCACATGTTACTCGGAACACAGTTTACACAAATAAGGTACTGGATTTCGACGTTACATTCTAAAATATGGTTATAATATATATTGTGTGTTTAGTTTGTTTAAGTAATTTTTTTTCATTCCTCCACCTAGAGAAATTGCAAGAATCAAGGTAGAAAATAGGGAGGCAACACAAAAAGTACCCTTTCTACCAATTGAGATGCAACGTTTCACATTACTGCTTGGATCTGTTGAACAATGATTTGGAAAGGGCACATCAACTCGGAGATGATGTGTTTTGGAAATGCAATCACTACCTGAAGCGAACTCATTCGATCCCTTGTGCATGTATTTTGAAGCGGGTAATGGAGGACAACGAGATTTTGACTCCAAAATACTTACACCAATTTTGGAGCACACTCGACATCGGTCAGGTTACAGGGAAGGATGGTTCGGATGATGTCCCCCCTCATAGATTGTTGTTTAGGCAGTTAGTGGAAGAATTGGACGCTGCTGAGGAGCCAATACAGTGCGGGATCACTAGATTGATGTACAACAAACTTCACCCGGGCCGAACCGAATCGAAAAAACCGCGGGTTAGAACGAGAGGCAAGGGCAGGCCAAAGAAAAGAGGCATCTCAAAAAGAAAGCAAGACAAACCAAATGTGTGGGTACACAGGGACGGCAGTCAGGGTGGGACAAATGCCAGCGGTTCCAGTAAAGCAGGTACCAGCAAAGGTACCTCGGGTCAAGGTGGGACAAACACCAACAGTTCCAGTAGAGGCCATACGTTGGGAGCTGAAGATCCTACCAGAGGTCCGATATTAATTTATTTTTTTTAATGTGCAAAATATTATTATCATTTAATTCTTATATTTTTGTTTCATGGCGTGCGAGCACAGGTACATGGACTGGGCTAGGTGGGACGAACACCGGCAGTTCCAGTAGAAGCCATACGTCAGGATCTGAAGCCAATGTCGGAGGTACGATTTATATTTATATTTTTAAAAGTGATAAATTTTATTATTTTATTAAATTCTTATATTTAATCCAAAAATAATGAAATTATTTTACTTGGTAATAGATGTGACGCAGACATACTTTTCCAAGTTTAGGTATAAGAATAAGATTCCGCAGATACTCCACAACCATGTTCAATCATATCTTGATGTGCAGACTGACGGCAATTGTGGTTTTCGCATCATTGTGAGTTGCATGTTGGGAGGGCAGAGTAATCATATTTTGTGTAGACAGATAGTGTTCGATGAGATTATAAATAATTCTGGGCTTTACGGGAACCTTTACGGGTATGGCATGTTTTATTTTGAGGTTCTATTTAATACACTTGCATCAATGTGATTTTGTTTAAAACTTTCCTTTACTCATCTTTGTAGGTGGGATAAATTACCTGAAAGCCTAGAGCATATACGGTGGACTGGTATAAGCGATGGTCACTGGATGTCGATAGAGTACTTTTATCCCATTGCTATATATTTCGATGTTGTTGTGTACTACTTCAAGACAAATGGCGCTGTAAATCTAAACGGCACATGTTGGACTATGCTACCACTCATCGCACGGGATAGGGCAACAAGACCAGAGTTCCAGATCGTTATTTGCCACCTTGAGCTCTACCAGCACTGCATTCGACTCAATCTGCAGGGTGATTTTCCAATTCCACCTATTCACCTCATTTGGCATCACGACTATGATAGTAGTATTATTGGTTGGGAAGTACCTCTTGAACCCAGAATGTAACTATGGCGTCCTTTGGTCCCACTGGATCCCCCCAAGAAGACCCAGACGGTCATTTGTTGATCTAGGGTGATATGTTGTTTTACATTTGGTTATGCAAATATGAAATATTTTATATGTTCTTTCCATGTCTTTTCATTCGTTTTTAGATGCAATGAAATTAAAAATCAAAATAAGTTCTAAATGTTTACAACAACGAAATCGTAACATATTCCAAAGGAAGATGACAATGGGTTTTCAATAACCAAATTCTAACCAAAGGAATCGAATGTCATGGGGCTTGACTGTGACGGAAGATGACATCATCCACTCATCCCACTGCAGACCAAGATCCAGATCGAGTTTCTTCAAATCTTCGATGCAATCTCGACTCAATCTCTCCATCTCACGCATCCACTCCAAATATTAAATAAAACCATATTAAACCCTTCAAGATAGTACGTGTGTTATTAAAATAAAATTCTATTGAGTGTTGAACTTACGTAAGTGGTGCAGTTCTTAGCTGGTATGCGTGACGTAGACGGGACGGGTGTCGGCAGTATGGATAGATGTGAATGGCTCCTGTACCAGTCGAGGTACTCTACAGCTGGTTGTCCTACCTCCGTAGACGATACCGGCATACAATGACTGAGGCTGATGCACTCCGATTCTGGAAATCTAACCCAACAATTACTAGTCTCGGCACTCGGACGATCAACAAAATACTTGTTAGCATTTTTCCCGCAAAACTGAGTGACCGGCGTGAGCGGCACACAAGGTATATACTACATGTAACCGAGCTAGCGTAGCACTCTCTCCGGCATGTATAGCTCCTGGAAGTTGTGGTACATAATCCACCCACTGAAGATGGTCCTTAGATGTGCGGCCGCCTGTTCACGACCGAATGGCTCCCATTTGACCTGTGAATGTTTCCAAAATTTATTATATAGTATAATGAAATACCCCTTACACAATACAAAGAAATAAAATAGAACCACTACCTCTTGCTCAGTCATCGCATCGAGTTGCGCATGAATCTGCTAGAGTCGACTCTGAATAGGTTTTGGGCCCTTATAGCTAACTGGTGTCCAGTCTCGGGCTCTGGGCCAACCATCTACACCTCGACATCCCCGCCTCTTCGAGGGCTAGAAGCATGGAAAATACTCATATATCCATGCCTGGAGAAGGGTCATACAACCAGCCATCGTGGTATAGCCTGCTCGACTAGCAATCCCAAGCTGACGGTAGAGGAATGCTAGTGTACCGGATCCCCAGGAGTAAGCTTCAATATTTTCGACACCTCCGTGGAGCTCGTTCATAAGCGAAGCACTGATCCTGCCCCACTCCTGTCAAGGAAGAGTGTCGAGGCTAACAAGATCCACATCCAAGCTTGAACCTGAACAGCGGGGAAGACTCTGCGACAACTTTCCTCGATCAATATGTCGCTCACAACTCCGTGACTCCATGCACGCTTTAAGTCAGCCACCGGCAACCCAAGCAATCCCGCGACCTGCATCTTCAACATTTCCACTTCCGGAGGTTCGGTCAACAAGTAACCCTCAACTGGAATTGCCAAAATGTGTGCTACATCATGCATCATGATGGTCATTTTCCCAAACGGCAAGTGAAAAGAGTTTGCGTCGGGCTGCCACCTCTCTATGAATGCAGAAATAAGCCTAAGGTCAATGTTATCATACAGGGTATCAATCAGATGATACCATCCATGCAATCTAGACAAACTCTTCTTCGCTAGCTTCATCGTCAGGTAATCTCTTGGTTCTCCATTCCAGAACTGATAAACAGTGTGGCCAAGAAAACTAGGAATCACTGACCCATCACATAGCCGGCTAGGTACGTCGTTCGTCACAACCCAATCATCAATTTCTTCGTTAGAAACCTTAGACCGTCTGCTAGTACCTAAAACCGAATAAAGAATAGTTGGAAAATACTTAACGGAATGCAATAAAGAAATTGACGTCGTAGTAATGAATGCTTAAATAGTTACAAATACATACCTGATGACGTCGCAGCTGCCTCAGGATGGCTAGAGGCACCAATGGAGGTGGCACCAAAATGGGAACGAGGCTGACTAGTCTGAGGGGGATGCGACGAAGTCCCGCCAGAATAATGCTGTAGGCCGACATCATGAAGAGTACAACTAGGACCTTCAAACAAAATGCCCCGTGGGCCGGTATCATGAAGAGTAGTACTAGGACCTCTAAAAAGAGCACTCTATGGGCCGGCATAATAAAGAGTAGTACTAGGACCTCTAAAGAGAGTACTCTGTGGGCCGGCACGAAGACTGGAACCACCGGGAGTGTAAGTTGAATTCAACCCCGATAATCCAACAAGGGTCTTCCCCCTCCTCCTCCCCCTCCCCCCCTCCGGGTAGGGTGAACTGGAGTCTGATCATCAGTACGACCAATGGGGTTCAGTACTGGGTTACCTCCAAAATGTATATCCCTCCTCTCAGGCGAGGAATACTCGTCTGACTCATCCTTTTCATCCACATCGTCCCCCTCCCCTCCCCCTCCTCCCCAACTCTCAAACTATCCTCATCTTGTTCTTCCTCTCCCTCAAACTCATCATCATCATCGACGTTCGCTAACTCATCAAATGGGACAAAGGTAGGATGTACATTTTTGTGTTTCTTTAAGTTTTTCTCTTTTTTCTATACGATGTTCAGCATATAGATAGCGCGTAATTGTATGGCGATTACCAGATCCCTCAAGAGGCGATATCCCATCCTACAAAAGTTTTAAATTTTACACGTAACTTTAATTAATCCTGAATACGTCCCAAAAAATTTAGTTTTAATACATAATTAATAAAACCTAAATAATAAATTATTAATTTAGGTTAATTACTATAATACATTTTTATATTATTTAAAAACCTAATTATAAAATTATCTACTATACATCTTAAATGTTTAATTTATTAAATCTACTAAGAACAAATAATAATATTTCCAAATATACTTCAATTAATTAAATTATCTACTTATTTTATTATTTAATTTTAACCAAAATTAAATAAATATTTTATTAACTCTAATTATCTACTAACCTCTTTTTTTGTATTTACTTAATACTTATTTATTTAATTTTCCTATAGTAAATATTTAATTTCTACGTATCACATTTTTTTGAGGCTAATTACAATTAAACCGACTGATCCTACAAAAATATTTTCTATAATTAAATTAATTATAATAACTTTCATAATTCTCCAAATTAATTTAAAAAATTGAAGCTCCCTAAAACTACTAATGAATTCCTAAATTTTAATATTCTTAATAAATTATTTACTTAAGATTAAACATATTAATTAATAAAAATGTTTCCTAAATAAATTAAACTAATAAAAATAAATTCCTAAGATTATATCATAAATTTAACTAATAATAAATAATTAAATTAAATTTCATAAGATTTACAATTACTAATAATAACAATTAAATTAAAATTACTAATATTTATTTTACAATTCATAAATAACAATTAAATTAAAATAAATAAGTTAAAAAATAAATAAAATTTAATACTAAAAAAAATAAACATAGAGGCGCCAGCACATGATCTGCGCCGGTTAATCTCGCCAGGCGGCCAGCGCCTGGCGAGACATATCTCGCCTCATCTCCAGAGGGTGGCGAAGAAAGGGGCGCCACCCCTGCCCGGGCCGGCAATAGAGGACCACGCCGGGGCAAGTAGAGCAAGTGCGGATCTCCGCGCCTGCTTTGTGAGCCACTCCTCACAGAGCCGGCGCGAGATCCGCGCCGGCTCTACTTGCCCCGCCGAGGTTCTCCATCGTCGGCGGGGACAGTGCAAATTTTTTTTAAAAAAAAAAAAAATCTCTAATTTGAACGTACCTTCAGTTTCCGAACTTATTTCCGTATCTGTTTTATTCGTTCCGCCATTTAATCTGAGTTTTTTGGATTTAGAAATAAGCGAATTTGAAATAAAAGATTGATTTAGGAATTGAAAGAATGAAATTGAAATTAATAATTTAATCTGATAGGGGTAAAATGGTCTTTTGGTATTACATTAGGGTGCTCAAGGAAAAAAATTAGGACATTTAGTAGCCCCAGTTAATTTAGGGGATGGATTTTTGAAGCCAACAAAATTAGTACTCAAAGCCACCTCAAAAAAATTTTGACGATTTTTTCCCTGTCAGTAGAGAGAGAAAGAAAATGAGTAATTCCGAGGTAAAAAAAGAAAACTCAAAAAATAACCGAACCGGTCAAGAAAACCGTCCCGGTTGAACTGGAGACGCACAAGAAATGCGTCCGGCCATTGAACCAGACGCGTACATTGCGCGTCCCCGGTTCAACCGGGACGTGTATGTTGCGCGGCCGGTCCGGGTAAAATCGAACCGGGACGCGCAATATACGCGTCCCGGTTGAACCGGGAACAGGCAATAAACGCGTCCGGTTCAATGGCCGGACGCGTTCAACACACGTCCCGGTTGAACCGGGGACGCGCAATATACGCGTCCGGTTCAATGGCCGGACGCGTTCAACACACGTCCCGGTTGAGCCGGGACGCGCAATATACGCGTCCGGTTCAATGGCCGGACGCGTATATTGCGCGTCCCCGGTTCAACCGGGATGCCTGTGTTGCGCGTCCCCGGTTCAACCGGGTTTTTTTAAAATTTTTTTTATTTTTATTTTTTTAATAATTTTAATTTCATGCATGTTATGTTAATTTATTTGTTAATTTAATTAGTTATGTTAAGTAAATTAATTAGTTGAATTATATTTTTATTTATTGCATGTTTTGTTAATTTAATTAAGTAATAATATTATTATTGTATATCTTAAATTAATTAGTTATGTTAAGTAATGTAATTAGTTGAATTTTATTTATCTATTTAGATTTAATTAATTAGAGATAATATTTATTTAGGGGGGAATAATTAAAGAATTTTGTGGAATAAGTATTTAATTTAGTAAATAATTAATCTATTTAATTAATCGCTAATATTTATTAGGTAGGTATTGGGAAATTTAATTTAGTAAATAATTAATCTATTTACTGTAAATATATGTTTTTTTATTATTTATTATAATTGTATAACTTTTTTAAATTATTGGAATATGTGTTTAATTTAATTTATTATGATGCAGTTTTTTATTGCAGGATTCTTTAGAAGATTTTGGTGGCGATGGTCAAGATTATAGTATATTATTTGCTACAGATGAGGAATTTGCAAACAAGGATGATGTTGTTGCTTGGGTGAAAGGCATGGGCATGGCAAATGGTATGTTACTAAATGTAGTTTCTAGTAAGAAGAAGAATGCTGTTCTGATGAGATGCTGTAAAGGGGGAAAGGTGTCAGTTGATCATGGTGAATACTATGTCACATCAGATTCGAAGACACAGAGGTGTAAATTTAAGTTATATGTGCACTCAGTGGATGGGAAGTGGCGCATTCGGGTGTATCCTGGTGAGTTTGGAATGCATAACCACGAGCTGTTTGACGAAGATCATCCCACGAGGGGCCTTAGCGATGGAGTGAAACAGCTTATACAGGGTATCTCCAAAGATGGGTGCAGACCGTGTCAGATCATGGCTGCGATTCAGAGGATCTTTCCTGATGAAAAAGTTAACAGACGGCAAGTGTACAATTTCAGGAAGAAATTGCGTAATGAGGGGTTCCCGGTATTGGGTGAATCGAGTGCCATGGATGTCGCGACGAAGACACTAGCGGTGGCCAAGCATCATGGTTACATCATCATGATAGATTGCAATCAGGAGACCGGTGTGCTGACTCGTGTATTTTTTGCACATCCTGATGCTGTCAATTTATTTTGCAGTTATTTATGGGTCGTCGGGATAGACTCAACACACAAGACGAACAAGTACAAAATGCCGTTGGTTGAGTTTATTGGGATGACATCGTGTAACCAGAACTTCCTGATTGCATACGCCCTCTTGAGTGACGAGACTGCTGACAGTTATTATTGGGCTTTGAGACAGTTTAGGGATTTGCTACCTGGTCATCTGTCTCCGGCTGTTATTGTTACTGATCGGGAACCGGGGTTGAGGCCGCCGCTGGGTATGGTATTTCCAGATTCATGCCACTTGTTGTGTGTTTGGCACGTTTATGAGAATGTAAAGCGACATCTCAACAAGGAATTGAAAATTGATGCCAAGATTGCAAATAGTTTTACATATGGGTTGTGGAAAGACGTTGTGGAAGCTAATAACCAGGATGAGTACAATAAAGCTGTTGCCGTAATAAACCGTCGTTGGCAGTTTTTTCCGAGAGTTCTTACTTATATCCAGAAGACATGGCTAGTGGTTGACTACAAATTCGTCAAGGCATGGACGAATGCTGTGTTTCATATGGGCAACACTACTACAGGCAGGGTGGAGAGCCCGCACAAGCAGTTAAAAACCTGGCTGGAAACATCCACGGCGTCCCTGGATACACTTTGGGCTAAGGTGCACTTGGAAATTCAGAGTCAGCTAACCGAAATACGGTAAGTTCTATTCCATTATATTAGAAGTTATATTTATTATAATATATTTAGTAATTATTTTGTTTTTATGGCATTTTACGTAGAATGTTTTACAGTAATTGGCTACATTCAGGTACAAACTAGTGTACTCAAGACAGAAAATTGGCACCCATTATTGCAGTTTTCCACTGAACCGCTTGAAGTGTCAAGTTTCACATACTTGTTTGCAAAAGCTGAACACTAAGTGGTCGAAGGCGCAAGAGTGGAAAGAAGAAACCAATGACCGATGCGATCATGTGGTGTACTGGACTTGTCGAATTCCATGCACGTGCGCTCTCAAAAAGGCTGCAGATGCCGGCACATCGATAACTCTTAAGCATATTCACCCATTCTGGGCGACCCTTAATATCGGTGAACAGCCTGGTACGAGTGCTCCTAGCGATGTGGATGACGAGGTCCTTTATACCAGACAGTTGATGGAAGAGCTGAACGAGTGTCCTAAGGCAGTACGACGTACTGTAAATAGGGTTCTCCACGATATTATGCATCCAGACCAGTGTGGGTTCAAACAACCCGAGGACGTCAAGAGAAGGAAGGGGCGGCCTAAGGGGGCTAAATCAAAGAAAAAAGCAGAGGCCAACACTCTTGCCCATGAACAATCCCCACAGAAAAAAGTAACTCCTAATGTGTGGAATTACAGGGACGAGCCGCAAGGAAAGTCGACCACAGTTACTAGCGATTCAAGTAAGAAGCGCCCCTCGTCTTCAGGTGGTTGTACAGATGCATCCACAGGTACATGTTAAGAAGTAATTGTTCAGAATATTCTTTATTTATTATCAATTGTTCCAAATAACATTGTTTCCATGTAATGTACAGAGATCTTTGCGAGTGATATTTCACAGTATGGTTGCTACGACCTCATTCCATGGCCCATTTGGCCATATATTACTAGTTACCTTGATGTTGGTGCCGATGGCAATTGTCGATTTTGCGTAGTCGCGAGTAACATGTTTTTGAGCCAGGATAAGTGGGCGATGGCGAGAGAGGCAATGGCAAACAAGCTAGAACAGAATTGGCATCTGTACAAACGAATCTACGGGTATAAATACTTTTCATTTTCTATGTTATGATGTTTGCAGAACTTGGCAGTATTTTGCACAAATAATTGTATATGTAAATGCAAGACGTCCTTACAGGAAGAAGTCCGTCGTATACGGTGGAGTGGACAGGATTTCGCACCTGAGCGTCATTGGATGTGTGTGACGGACTTGTTCGTAGTTGCGACTATGAACAATGCAATTGTGTACTATTACGGTGCAGGAGAAGAGAACCAGTCACTAAACTCTACATGTTGGACTGTACTACCTGTCACTGCACGCGGTGAGGCAACATGTCCGGCATTTGAGATTGGGATATGTCACCATGGTCTTTACAAGTACTTCATTCGGATCAATTTGGACGGTGACTTTCCAGTTCCACCAATCAATAATCGGTGGACTAAGGAACATCAGCCTAGCGTTGCTGGTTGGGAATTACCACTTCTTCCTAGAATTCAACATTGGTATAGGTTGGTCCCCAACAATCCTGGACGAGTTGTGAATTTTGATAATGATTTCATTGATCTTAGTTTCTTAGATTAGATCCATGTAGGTTTGTTTGCTGTGATGATGATAATGATATTATCTAGTAGCTGGTTTGTTTGTTTTTTATGATTTGTGTAATAACAAACCTTGTTGGGCATAAAGAAAAAAACTTACCACACAGACACCAAATAAGCTAACTTATATATAACACACAATCCCATCATACCATCAAAAAAAAAAAAAAATACAGTCCAAGAAAGAGAAAAACAAACAAATCCAGTCCAAAAATACAACAATGTCATTGATCATGGGGCCTTATAATAACGGATCATCGTATCCTGCAGCTTCTCATCATATTCGTCAGCCAGGTCGCGATCGGACACTTTAACCTTTCTAATCAGGTCCCTGGTCAGCTTCCTCAATTCATTCATCCACTGAAAACACAAAATCCAAAAAAGATTAAACCTATTTATAATATAGAAATGTATATCTACAAAAACTCAATAAATAAAAAATACAACTTAAATAATCCTGACTGCTCTTAGCTGGTATAGAGACTGCAGATGGGTCAGTTGTCGGCAGCAAAAATGGATGTGAATACTGCTTGTACCATTCAAGGTACCCATCCTCACACTCTCCTACGATGTCACCGTTATAATTGTATCGCCATCTGGTCAAATTAAGACACGCTGACTCCGGGAATCTCCTCCAAGTACTGAGTGTGTCAATAGCAGAATGTTGTACAAAGTACTGGGTAGTCTTGGGTCCTCGGAATGCATCATCAGGGGACATGGGCGAACAAGGAATGCTCTGTACGTAGCCAATCTGACGTATACATCTGTCCGGCATGTATGGCTACTGCATGTTCCTATACATTATCCACCCACTATAGATAGTCCTAGGAACTATTCCTTGTTGGCCAGGTCCAAATGGCTCCCACTTAACCTGCAAAATAGTATTTAGATTATTTGTAAATATAATTTTCAAAAAAATAAAATGAAATACAGTCAAATGAAGCAATCAAGTACCTCTAACTCGGTGAAACGGTCGAGACGCTCCCTAACCTGACAAAGACGATCTGACACAGATGTCGGCCCCGCAAAAGATGGTGGTATCCAGTCATGTACTCTGGGCCTGTCATTACCCCCACGGGTAACTCGCCCTCCCTGGGGGCGGAAAATTGAGAAATACTCGTATATCCAGGCCTGCAGTAGGGTCAAATAACCACCTAACTGAGTGCACATTGCCCTACTAGCCATCCCTAACTGACGGTATAGGAACACAAGCGTAGTAGAGCCCCACGAGTATGAACCCATATTCTCGATCCCAGCCATCAGCTCATGTACAAGTGCAACAATGCACCTCCCACCACTCTTGCCCATGAACAACGTCGAGGCCAACAATACCCACAAGAAAGCACAGGCCTGGGTATTCTCGTCCGCTTTCTCGCATCGCTCAAGGATGAACGAATCAGAGACACCGCCATGACTCCATTTGTAATCATTCATATCCATGCCAAGTATCCTTGCTGCATGTCTCCTCAACAAATCTGTGTCGGACGTACCTGACACCAACTCTCCATCGACCTCAATGCCCAAAATATGATAAACATCATGCATCATGATGGTCATCTCCCCAAACGGGAAATGAAATGAGTTGGTGTCCGGCTGCCACCTCTCAACAAATGCCTGAACTAAGCCAAGATCAATATCTTCATACGAGGTATGAAGAAGGTGACCCAATCCAGTCCCCCGAATCTTGCCTCTCACATCATCATCCATATCTTTATACCACATCTTCAACTTATTCAGAATCTTTTCTCCTTTAAAAATCTTCAATGTGGGTCTATTGTATCCATGCCAGAAATGATAAGCAATATGCCCAAGGAAGCAAGGAATCACGCTACCATCTATCGGCCCACCAGGTACTTCATCTATCACTAGCCATGTCGTCGGATCAATGTCATCAGAAACTCTCGACTGGCTGCTGCTGCCTGTACCATGAATGAGTAAGCCAAATATTATTTATTACATTTTATACACATCCAACAATTCAATAAATATAAGTAAAAATAATTAATTAAAAATAATTACAGAATATTAAATATAGATATTTGGTACCTGATGATGCAGTAGTGGTAACTGGACGTGTAGATACTCCAGTGGATCCGGGACCTCGGCTAGGGCCCACGGGATCAATGAGAGGGGGAGGACGTGTAGATACTCGAGCGGAGACGGGACCTCCCGAAACGTGTAGATACTCGAGCGGAGACGGGACCTCCGCGAGGGGGTACGGGATCAATGTAGGGGGGAGATGCCTGAGCGGGGCGGGGGGGACGAGGCTGACTACCGGTGGATATACCCTGTGAGAATTCACCCGGATGCGGGAAAGAGGGACTATGATATGGACTGCGCCACTCACCACTCTTAGGAGAAGGGATAGGGGTAGGGGGAGAGGGTAAACCGCGAGGACCAGGCCGGGGACAACTGGAGTACCGAGGAGGAGGGTAACTACTAAGATTGTACATAGGCGTATCTCTGTGATGTGCACCCATCCTAACACTGTCCTGCACATCATCCTCATCAAACTCATCCTCCTCATCCTCATCCCCCTCTTCCAGGTCGTCCTGAGAATACTTGGGTACATGAATCGGCTGACTAGACCGAGTCTAAAGCGGTACATCCCCCATAGTGACCTGAGTCATTCTCATTCGCTTCTTTTTTTCTTTTTCCTCTTTTTTCTTTCGACGACTCATGGTCAGATCAAGAACCTTACGCTTACTACTATCTTCAGTATCACTAGTATCACTATCATCATCATCATCACCATAAACCTATAAACAAAATTTTATTCATCGTCATCATATTTTCATAGTCTAAACAAATAATTATACACATATCCTAAATCCTAAATAGTTTAATAATTTAGTACAATTCATATAATAATTAAGTAAACTAAAGTACTTTACCAAATTTTAAATTAAATTACTATTTAATTAATTAAAAATACTCAACTATTTTGCAAAATATTTATATTAATTTAATTAATCATTAACTACTTTACGCACAATTTAAATTAGATTTACTAATCTACTATTACTATTAATGAAATTAGTTTTTAATATTCAACTAATTTACATACTATTTAAATTAATTTAATCAATCAAAATGAGTAACTTTACTAATCTACTAATAATTAAATTAAAAATATAACCTAATTGCTTTCATAACTAATTAAAATAATGAGTAAATCAATTAAACTAATTAGGTACTGAACTAATCTACTATTAATTAAATTAGTTTTCTCATTCAACTAATTTACATACTATTTAAATTAATTTAATCAATTCAAATGATTAACTTTACTAATCTACTAATAACTTAATTAAAAATATAACCTAAATACTTTAATAACTATTTAAATTAATAAGTACATCAATCAAACTAATTAATGAACTAATTTATTATTAATCAAATTAAATTATTTACACAATTAAATTAAGTAACCAATCTAAATCACAAACTATTAAATAATAAAAAATTACTTACTAACCCTAATTACATTAAATCAAACATAATTAAAACATAATTACATTGTAATTAAACAAATTAAAAAAAAAAAAAGCAATCTGGCCGCCGGACGGCGCCAGAAGTCGGCCGGCGGCGCGACCGGGACGCGCAAGGAACGCGTCCCGGTTCAACCCGAAACGAGCAAACCGCCGTTCGAGTTGAACCGGACGCGTTGCTTGCGCGTCCCGAGCCGCGCCACGGACGGCTTCATTACCCGTCCGGCGGTCTTACAACATTTTAAAAAAAAAAATCCGCCGGCGGCCGTGATTTTTTTTTTTAATTTACAAAGTTTTTTTTGAAAAAAACGTACCCGTGATGAGATCAGCTCTTTCCTGCTTTGATTCTTCCGTGTTGCCAGGATTTTTTTTTTTTAATTTACAAAGTTTTTTTTGAAAAAAACGTACCCGTGATGAGATCAGCTCTTTCCTGCTTTGATTCTTCCGTGTTGCCATTAATTTTTCATCAAATTACGGCGGCCAGGATTTTTTTTTTCTTTAATTTACAAAGTTTTTTTTGAAAAAAAACGTACCCGTGATGAGATCGGCTCTTTCCTGCTTTGATTCTTCCGTGTTGCCATCAATTTTTCATCAAATTAGACTTCAAAATGGGCCGGCGGCCAGGATTTTTTTTTTCTTTAATTTACAAAGTTTTTTTTGAAAAAAAACGTACCCGTGATGAGATCGGCTCTTTCCTGCTTTGATTCTTCCGTGTTGCCATCAATTTTTCATCAAATTAGACTTCAAAATGGGTTTAGAAGGGTGGTGGCTTCAAGTTTTCTCTCTTTTTTCCTTTGGTGGAAGTTTGAAATGTGAGGGGCAAAATGGTCAAAAAAATTTATGATGGCTTTAAGTAGTAAAGATGGTGACTTCAAAAACTAACACTAATTTATGTCAAAGTTTAGGTACAGAGTTGGCAGACCGCGGAAACGGAGGATTGGCGAAAAAAAATAATAATAAAAATAAAAAGGTTTTTACACTTTAAATACGAAGTGGCCAAAAATCGTAATATAACTTTGTTCGACGATGACGTGTCGCCACCGGTTTTAGTCAGTTTACTCCGCCATGGGAGCTTCCGCTGCCCGTGCATCACCGTTGATGATGGCGCCTCTGCTAAATGTCACCGTCACCGCCGCCGCCGCCGCTTTCTTCCTGGTAAACCTAACGCATTCATCGTTTTACCTTTATACTTTGTATCTTCCGACCCATTAGTACCTGCCCATCCCGAGATCAGTTTCATTTACCTCTCGAATGCAGGTCGCAACGGCAGCGCTCATCGCTTTAGCTACGGCCGAATCTCCGCCGAATCTCTTCATCGAGTGAGTTTAAACAGTTCATTTCTCAATTGTAAACATTCCTCCAGTAAGATTCTGGAAGTGAGTTTCACTCTGTAAGCTATGTAAATTGTGTGTATAGCACAATTTCTTACATGAGTTGTAATGATGGTATTTAGGTATAATAAATCTATGCTGGAGAAATGGAAAACCCATCTGTATGATTTCTGATATTGTGATATGAACTGTCTCGAGCATTTGTAGTTGCTGTTAGACTTAGAGCTTGGATATCTATTAATCCTTGATTTAATTGCAGCAATCAAAGCGAGGGCAGACAGCAGTTTCAAAAGCTGTATGATTGTCCACAGTGCAATGGCAATCCGGTAAGTGTACATCTTCTGGTTTTTCATGATCAAATTTGGTAAAGCCTCTATAAAGCTTCTGTATGTTTAGAGGAATTTTTTGTGGATTTTTAGGCAGATGCTCAAGTTGAATTCAGTTACTTGCCGCGTCAGGATAAGGTGATCAATTCTCCCTTTATTAAATCCTTTCATTTTGTTCATTTCAGGAACTTGAGAGGTGATGGATATTTGTGATACATTTTACTTGTTTCCATACAGGATGTTAACATAATTGTCACCTATAGTGACCCTTCATCTGGTGCTATTCGAACTCGGACTGTCAAGTCTAAGGACCTTTCGGCTTCTTGGGTATGGAAAGATCCTGAAGATGTTCATCGTGATCGAACATTAAGTTTGCAGGTGTGTTGCCTTAAGGCTCGTAGCTTTACTGTTCCTTTATTCTTTAAGTAGTCAATGATGAAATTCGAATCATTTCCATGTTTGTTGTATTATTGATCGAACCTTTAATTCAGGTTCCTGGGAACCTGTTCAAACAAGAAGTCAGGTTAAGTGAGAGTGACGAACTCTCCATTGTTCCTTCAAATCCACTTGTGTCCCCTCCAATGCATCCTGCAAAACTCCAGCGACGGGTGACATATCGAGTTCTTTGTTTTTCTTTTTTTTTCAGAAACCCCTCCCTGGTAATGCAGTATAGTCTGACCTTCCATCCTTTATATGATAAGGTTTATTGGTTTTTTTTCCCTCCTTTTTTTTCCTGGTTTTTAGATGCTACGTAAAGAAAGGAGAGAACAAAGGGCTGCAGAACTAATCCACCAAAACAAAGAGGTGGAAAACCTAATGCAGGAAGCTGCCATTGAACAAGCAAGAGAACTCGACACAACTACCAAGGGTAGATATAGCATATGGAGGAAAGAGTATGAAAATCCCAACTCTGACTCTACTGTGAAACTTATGCATGATCAGATCATAATGGCAAGAGCTTATGCAACCATTGCAAAAGCTAGGAATGAGACTTTTCTATATGATGCTCTTGTCAAACGTGCAAGAGAAAATCAACTAGTTATAGGAGAAGCAACATCTGATGCTGAACTTCAGCCTAGGTATATTGATCCATAACTTTGGTTTGCTTTACCTTGTTTCTAATACCACATCCGCGTTTTAAAATTCTGATAAGATTTGTTGTTTACTCTGTTTTTGTAGTGCACTTGAGAGTGCAAAACAGATGGGTCATATTTTGGCTACTGCAAAGGACAAATTCTATGATTGTATTGCGATAGCTCGGAAATTGAGGGCAATGCTTCAGTCAACTGAAGAGAGTTTGAGTGCTCAGAAGAAGAAAAGTGCATTTTTAATACAGCTAGCAGCCAAAACAGTCCCAAAACCCCTCCACTGCATTCCACTACTTCTTACAACAGACTATTTCTTTCATAATTATGAAGGGAAAGAGTTCCCGAACAAAGAGAAGCTTGAGGATCCTTCTTTATACCATTATGCAATCTTTTCAGACAATGTAGTTGCAACTTCCGTGGTTGTAAGATCAACAGTGGTGCACGCAAAGGAACCAGAAAAGCACGTTTTTCATATTGTAACTGATAAATTGAACTTTGCTGCAATGAGAATGTGGTTTCTGGTCAATCCTCCTGCTGGCGCTACAGTCCAGGTTGAGAATGTAGACGATTTTACGTGGCTCAACTCGTCATATTGCCCTGTTTTACGTCAGCTGGAATCTTCCCGGATGATAGAGTATTACTTCAAAGCGCATCAAGCTTCTTCTCTTACGGCTGGTGCTGACAACCTTAAATATAGGAACCCGAAATACCTATCCATGTTGAATCACCTTCGGTTTTACCTTCCCGAGGTTTACCCAAAGCTGGATAAGATACTGTTTCTAGATGACGATATTGTGGTTCAGAAGGATCTGACCCCACTTTGGTCTGTTGATTTGCTTGGCCGGGTGAATGGTGCAGTGGAAACTTGCAAGGAGAGCTTTCATAGATTTGACAAATACTTGAACTTCTCCAACCCGATGATATCTGAGAATTTTGATCCAAATGCTTGTGGCTGGGCATATGGGATGAATATCTTTGATTTGAAGGAATGGAAGAAGCGCAACATCACTGGAATATATCACTACTGGCAAGATCGGGTATGACTTCTCTTCTGCACACATAAATTAAGATTTAGAAAAAAATTGAAAAGATTAGAGTAGCATTATACAATCTATAATTAGCTGCTTTTAGATCTAACATGTTAGCAGGTTTCTGGGATTAAACTCATTGTTTAGGGTAGGAACTTGCTTACTGTCCTAATGCGATCATCTGTTTTTGGTTTGTATTTATTTTCAGAATGAAGATCGAACTCTTTGGAAACTGGGGACACTGCCACCAGGGTTGATAACCTTTTATAACTTAACTCATCCCCTGGAAAAGAGTTGGCATGTGTTGGGACTTGGTTATGATCCTGCCCTTAACCAAACAGAAATTGAAAACGCAGCAGTGGTGCACTACAACGGTAACTACAAGCCATGGTTGGATCTTGCTATAGCTAAATACAAGTCTTACTGGTCGAGTTATGTAATGACTGAGAGTCCGTACCTCCAACTATGTCAGTCTGGTGGGTAGCTGCTAAGAAACATCAAATGTCCCATCCAATTGAACAACACAGTTAACTTGGCTGTTGCATTCACCTCTTGGTACTCGTAAAGAAAGTTCACCATCTGTTTTCATTTCGATGGAATTGTCAAGAACGGACGACGGATCTGGCAATTTTTTGGATGATTTATCTGTCGACAAAGTAACTAGATTCAGGGTACACCAGAGACAGCTGCCGGATTTTTTTTTTTTTTTCTGAATGTACAGTAAAAACCATTGATTAGCTGACTAATATGATTCTTCATATCATAGCAGTAGCTGTAGGGTTGGTCCCTGTTTCCATTTCCTTGTTACTGACAGTATTTCATGAAAAATTATGAAAATCATTGGCCATTGAACATTTTTTTAGACCCTTTTTATTTGGCACATAAAGGGAGATGGATGGTTTGCTGACGTGCTGACGTGCATCACACTCGGGGACAAATATGTCAACCTAAAAAATTTCACCCTTCTATGCTGAGTAAATATTCAGTGCAGGGAGCATCTAGCCTGTACTCCCTCCATTCCAAAATAAGTGTCGTTTTGGTAAAATAGAAAAATTTCAAAATAAGTGTCGTTTTCGGATTTCAATATATTTTTTGTCAAAAATTTCCAAACATACCCTCAAAAGAAATAATATTATTAGTGAACATTTATTTTAATGGGGTTGGTTGGAGATATTCTAGTAATTTAGTTACCCTATTTAATGTTTTCTTAAACTTTGTGCATACTCTAGAATGACACTTATTTTGGAAAGGAGGGAGTACAACAATACAACATATAATTTCGGGGTAGGTCATAATTTTAGCACAAGTTTACAAACATATTTATGGGGGCAATCTTTTTTGTTATTATTGGCTTGTAGTACTAAAAAGTAGAATGCGGAACGTATAGAATGCATTCAGATTTCAGGTCAGGTGAACAGAAACATCTTCTTTCATTCTTCCTCTCAAGCTTTACCGACTTTGTGGGCGATGAAGCTAATGAGGACGAAGGGAAAAGCTTTTGTGGAGTCAATTCTGGTGAGCCCTTTACTCTTCTTGAATTATAAGTCACATCTTTTCGCATTAGAATATCACACTGCCGCCCCACCATACTGTAATCCTGTTAGAAACAGAGAGCATTTGCATGCAAGACTTAAATCCGGGTTCCTCAATGACATTACTAGCCCGGAAGATGCCCTTAATTTGTATAAACAGATGGTCCTATTGGATCCTCCGCCAAATGTGATTGCTTTCACTCAATTGCTTGACCGATTGGTTAAATTGAAGCACTATTCACTTGCCATTTCACTGTACCGCAACATGACTGCTCTGGGATTTCCGGTTAGTGATTACATTCTCAATACTGTCATTCATTGTTACTGTTTGGTGAATAAGGTTGATTTTGGGTTCTCTGTATTGGGAGGTTTTTTTAAGCGTGGCATTGTGCCTGATGTGTGCACTTTTGGTACTCTACTCAAAGGGCTTTTTAAGGAAATACGGATTAACCAGGCCCAAGAATTGTTTAGGAAGATAATTTTCGAAAAATTATGTGAACCTGACATTCCCATGTGTGTTACCGTGATAGATGGGCTCTGTAAAGTAGGGAATACTAGCATGGCCATTCTATTTCTCAGAGATATGGAAAGAGGAAGAGTTGCGCCAGATGTCAAAGTGTACACTGCTATTGTGGATAGTCTGTGTAAGGATAATAGAGTAGAGGAAGCAATCCTTCTTTTACGAGAGATGATCGAGAAGGGTATTGCCCCAAATGTTGTTACTTATACTTGTTTGATAAAGGGTTTTAGTAATATAGGTAAGATGGATGAAGCTATAAATCTCTTCAATGAGATGGTGGATTTGGGAATTGCTCCTAATACACATACTTTCAACGTACTGATAGGTGCCGTATGTAAGGAAGGGAAATTGGAAGCTGCTGAGGGTTTTCTCCAAATGATGACTCAGCATGGCCAGATCCCTAATGTGATCACTTACAATGTTCTCATGGAGGGGTGTTGTTTGCAGGGTCAAATCAGCAAATTGCAAAAAATTTTTGATGCCATGGTGGGATGTGGGATTGTTCCAGATTTGATCAGTTATGGTATCTTGATAAAAGGTTATTTCAAGAGCTTTAAAGCTGATGATGCAATACATATCTTCCGCGAGATGCCACAGAAAGGAGTGATGCCAAGCGCTGCCACGTACAATGCTGTCTTGCAAGGATTATTTAGGATGGGAAGGTATGCCACTGCAAGACATGTTTTCATGGAGATGCAATCAGTGTCTATACCCCCTGATTTTTTAACTTATTCTATAATGTTGGACGGCCTATGCAAGAGTGGTTCGGTTGATCAAGCCATTGAATTTCTTCACAAGTTGGAAAATGAAGGAGTAGAACTTGATACAACTATGTATAACATTGTACTTTAGGTTTGTGCAAATGTGGGAGGCTTGATACAGCAAGAAGTCTTTTTTATAGTCTCTCTTCGAAAGGACCGAGTCCTAATGTCATAACTTATAACACAATGATAAGTGGCCTTCATAGAGGAGGTTTGGTAATGGAGGCTAAAGATGTTTTTAGGCAAATGGAAGAAAAAATGGTGTCTCGGCAAATGGAATCACATGCAACACGATTATTCAAGGCTTCTGAACATAGGTGAATTTGATGATGCTGGGATCTATATCAAAGAGTCAGTTTGAAAAAGAGTTCCAATAGATTCATCAGCATTCTCACTTTTACTCGAATTGTCATCAACTAAGGAAAGCAGCACTGCCCAGACAAAGTTAATTCAGGATTTCCTGACAAAGTTAATGATCTTGGCCCCCACAGCATGAAGTCTTAGTTGGAAATGGTGGATGATGTTGAAATTTAATTGCCTTGCTGCTTACTTCGACTCTGGTGGCCTGTAAAATGCAAAGGTGTAAGGATTAATTCTGACTTCCATTCCAATTTCTGTGTGATTGGAGATAATTCTGTAGTCTACCTTAAAGTGGTGGTGAATCGAATATGTTGGTGGAGATTAAAGGTAGTTCTTGTTATGGGCTGGGTAATCAAAGATTTATGTGGAGGTCTGGTGTAGTTTTATGTACTTTTAATGCTGATAGATTTGAGAAAAAGCAAGTCAGATTCAATATTGTTGTTTTGTGTTAAGCCTCTCCCAGTGCTTAAAACTTATGATCTTTTGTGTTTATTTCAATCATTGTTGTGCTTCTCCAAGGAGGCATATGGGAATCTAGTTAGTATTAGGAATCAGTCGGAAAGCCGAATACTGTTAGCTGTCGATAAAGTAAGTTGTAAGGAGTCAGAAAGCCGAGTAGTGATTTCAAACCCTATTTGTGCTGTTGAATTGCAGTGAGGTTTCGAAAATGCATTTCTGCAAAAAGAATCCTTGCTTTCTGGATGATACAAGTAATCTCAGCATCTTTGATTGTCCTTTGGTGGATTTTGTTCGTTTATCGGGGTTTTTGCTGCTCCTTTTGCAATTCCATTGCTGTCAAGTAATCCTGAGCTTCAATGTTTGATAGCAGGAGCAGGACTCGTTCCTCTACCCCAAAGAGCAGAACTGCAATGTGAATCTGGAAGCTCTATTAAGTTCATTTGATCACAATGGAAACTGATGAGATCGATACGGTGAAAGTTCCAAATTAAAGAGGACAACGACGAGAATGGTGAATTTGATCAACATATCCGGTCATGAAGAAATCTGCAGTTTCATTCACATTGAAATGAGACAGTAGGTGTTCTTTACCATCTCTGTATATTCCTCTAAACATGGTATAGCAACTCAGTTCAGATTTTGGCATCATCTTCTTCTTCATCCTCCATTATTCTTGGGTCCATAATTTCACAACTTCCCCATTATACACATTGCCTCCGCCTCCATATTTTTGAGAACTAAATGATCCCAAAAGAATTACTCCTTCCGTCCCACAAAAATAGTCTATATTGATTTTTAAGTTTTGTACTGTTTTTAGTACAAATTTGAAAACTCAAAGTGGACTATTTTTTTTGGGACGGAGGTAGTACTTTCTTTTTCCTAACTGCAATTTTGTGTAATTATTTATATTTTAAAAAAATCGGGAAACAAAAACTAATTATTGTTGGTAGACCCTAAAATTTTTATCATACCATGAGCAAAAGGTCAAGAGCAATAACTAAACAAAATAATAAATTTTCTTTTATTTTTTTTCTTGGTTTGTTTGACATTTACTCATTTGTAGAGCTGATTTCCCTTCAAACTATACGTGCTTAGAAAGTGAATTTGTTGAGCACTAATTTGAGATTGTAAGTAGTGAATTATATGAGATTGTATTTTAATTTTTTTAAAAAATTTATATGAAATTTAGTTTATTACATAAATTTACGTGTAACAAAAGAATACTAATTTGTGTTAGAAAAATAATTCATACTGATTTTTTTTAATAAAAAAAGGTAAGGCCTTCTAATTATAGAATCATTATATTTATAAAAGGAAAGAAAGATAATCGACACGTGTCGCTCATTGAAGCCATCAATTCTCAATTAACACGTGTCATTTGCTAATTAGTTGATCATTAATCAGTTAAAATTTTATATAAACAGTTAATAACTATTATTTACTATATAAGATTTTTATATATATTACAAATTCTGGATTGAGAGCTTGAAAATGAATATTTTCAAAAATTGTTGAGAAACTCCCGACTTAAGAAATTCTTGCATTTACGAGTTTAAAATTTCAACCTATTGTTATTTTGGCCCTTAAAAAAGTTTCATTTGTGTGTTACTTAATCTTCAAGTTTATCGATTTTACATTTTCAAAGACGATTAATTGTGTCTCATATTTTATTTGAATTACATCTAATCCCCGAAGTCCCCTTGCCTATAAATAGGCAATAGGCATCTAGACACAATTTACGTATTTTTTAAATATATTTTTTTAATCCAAACATAACATTAGTTAGTGGTGACAATTTTTATTAGACAACTTTTAAAAATCTTTGTTGTAATATTTTTGACTAGATTTTACAAATATACATCTCATAAATAATATCAATGCCTCTCATTTTGATCTAAAATTGATTAATCAAAAGAATATTATGGTTTTAAGAAATATTAGTATTTACATTATTTAATTAATTCTTTTAAAAGATACAATTTTCAACGTTGACAAACCCGCACAAAGCGCGGGACACATACTAGTGTAAAATAAAATGGTGAGGGGATCCGAATTCGGGTCAGGGGAATTAAGTCGGGCACGAGTTGCAAATGGTGGATCTTTCACTCGCCTGACGGCGGCGTATGATGACGACGACGACGAAGATGATGCGGGCAAAGAGAAAAGCCTTTTCACATTCAGTTTGTTAGAAATTCTTTGCTTCCATTGAATCGTAAGCCGGAACCTCTTGCGTCAGAGTATCATAGCGTTGCCTCCGATTCTATTCCAAACAGAGTGAAAGAAATTCTTCTTTTACGTGAGATGATTGGGAAGGGCATTGCTTCTGATGTTGTTACTTGTACTTGTTTGATTAAGGGTTTGAGTAATATATGTAAGTTGGCTGAGTCTATTAATCTGTTCAATGAGATGGTGGATTTGGGAATTGCTCCAAACATGTATACTTTCAATGTACGTATTGATGGATTGTGTAAGGTAAAAAGTGGATGAGGCTTAGGTTTTACTCCTTATGATGACTCAGCAAGGCCAGAACCCTGATGTGATCACTTACAATACTTTCATGGAGGGATATTGTTTGCAGGGTCAAATCAGCAAAGCACAAAACATTTTTAACACCATAGTTGGATGTAGGATTGTTCCAGATTTAGTCAGTTATGGTATCTTGAGACAAGGTTATTTCAAGAGGTTTAAAGTTGATGATGCGATGCATCTCTTCCGCGAGATGCCACAGAAAGGAGTGATGCCAAGTGTTGCCACGTACAATGCTGTCTTGCAAGGATTATTTCGGATGGGAAGGTATGCCACTGCAAGAGATGTTCATGGAGATGCAATCAGTGTCCATATCTCCTGATTTCTTTACTTATTCTATAATGTTGGACGGCCTATGCAAGAGTGGTTCTGTTGATCAAGCCTTTGAATTTCTGCAGAAGTTGGAAACCGAAGAAGTGGAGCTTCATACAACCATGTATAATATTATTCTAGACAGTTTGTGCACATGTGGGAGGCTTGATACTGCAAGAGATCGTTTCCATAGTATCTTCTCGAAAGGACTGAATCCAGATGTCAAAACTTATAACACAATAATAACTGGCCTTTGTCGCGGAGGGTTGGTGAAGGAGGCTAAAGGTTTTGTTGTGCAAATGGAAGAGAATGGTGTCTTGGCAGATGAAATTACATACAACACTCTTATTCGAGGGCTTCTTAATGTTGGTGAATTTGATGATGCGGGTATCTATATCAAAGAGGCAGTCCGACAAAGATTTTCAGTGGATTCATCAACTTTCTCACTTTTACTCAAATTTCCTTAATCAAAGAAGGTAGTACAGTCCTCTCGAAGTTAATTCAGGATCTTGGGCCCCGAAGCTTGAGATCTTAGTTGGATGTGGTAAATGATATTCAAGCTGGCAGTTGGATTTTTTTATGCCAACTGTGCTGGTCTACAAAGAAAGGGGCGTTAAACCTTTTGGTGGTAGGATTGGTTATAATGAAGTTCCATATTTATGTGTTTTAAGATAAATCTTCCGCATGCCTCTATGTGGTGGTTATTAAATTCATAAGTTGAGATTAAAGCAACCATGGTGAATAAAGGTACCACTCATTATGCTGCTGAAGTGATACAAGTTGAGGGTGAAGGGTTCTCTTGTTATGTGGCTTTTTGATATGCTGTCAAAAATTGAAAACTTATTTCACCACTCTTGTTTTTGGCACTCTTAAAACGTCAAAACAACTTTTCATTGATAGAGTCAAAACCTGTTGCTTAATTTTAAACACTAGATCTTCTTAAAAGTAGATCTTAACGCTTTGTTGCTTGTTTGATTTCTATAATTTTCAGCCCAATATGGTTGGACATGTATTTAGGATGGCATATTTTTATATCTTATTTTTAAAAATCTCTCTATTGTCAGCTTGCTTGGGAATAAAAAACGCTAATTTCTTGTATCATGTGTTTATTCTTGATCACTTGTAGTATACATGTGCTACTTTGTTCCTTAAGAAACTGCTGTCTCTACAGGCTTTTTAGGTGAAAAGGGAGAATGGCTGCATTCTCCTATACCTGAGACTGTTAGTGAGGTCATTAAGTTGCTTTTTGTAACATAAGAAACCATATTCTCAAGCTCTTTGCAATCAATATTAAATTCTTCCTTGTACATTTTTTTTTTCATAAACTTCTGCCCTTATCTGGTATATGCTGGATGCAGGACCGAGCATGCCATGTCTTATCAGCTTAAGGGACTGCTGAGAGATCTCAGGAGTTAGCAGGCTGGAAGTGAGATCATGA